AAAGTCCAGGACCAGATGGCTTCACAGGTGAATTCTATCAAATATTTAGAGAAGAGCCAAAACCCATCCTTCTCAAACTCTTCCAAAAAATTGCAGAGAAAGGAACACTCCCAAACTCATTCTATGAGGCCACCATCACCCTGATACCAAAACCACACAAAGATACTACAAAAAAAGAAAATTGCACACCAATATCACTGATGAATATAGATGCAAAAATCCTCAACAAAATACTAGCAAACAGAATTCAACAACACATTAAAAGGATCATACACCATGAACAAGTGGGATTTATCTCAGGGATGCAAGGATTCTTCAACATATGCAAATCAATCAAAGTGATACACCATATTAACAAATTGAAGAATAAAAACCATATGATCACCTCAGTAGATGCAGAAAAAGCTTTTGACAAAATTCAACACCCATTTATGATAAAAACTCTCCAGAAAGTGGGTACAGAGGGAACCTACCTCAACATAATAAAGACCATATATGACAAACCCACAGCAAACATCATTCTCAATGGTGAAAAACTGAAGGCATTTCCTCTAAGATCAGGAACAAGACAAGGATGTCCACTTTCACCACTATTATTCAACATAGTTTTGGAAGTCCTAGCCATGGCAATCAGAGAAGAAAAAGAAATAAAAGGAATACAAATTGGAAAAGAAGAAGTAAAACTGTCACTGTTTGCAGATGACATGATACTATACATAGAGAATCCTAAAGATGCCACCAGGAAACTACTAGAGCTAATCAATGAATTTGGTAAAGTTGCAGGATACAAAATTAATGCACAGAAATCTCTTTCATTCCTATACACTAATGATGAAAAATCTGAAAGAGAAATTATGGAAACACTCTCATTTACCATTGCAACAAAAAAGAATAAAATACCTAGGAATAAACCTACTTAGGGAGACAAAAGACCTGTATGCAGAAAACTATAAGACACTGATGAAAGAAATCAAAGATGACACAAACAGATGGAGAGATATACCATGTTCTTGGATTGGAAGAATCAATATTGTGAAAATGACTATACCACTCAGAGCAATCTACAGATTCAATGCAATCCCTATCAAATTACCAGTGGCACTAGAATTAAAATTTGTATGGAGACACAAAAGACCCCGAATAGCCAAAGCAGTCTTGAGGGAAAAAAACAGAGATGGAGGAATCAGACTCCCTGACTTCAGAGTATACTACAAAGCTACAGTAATCAAGACAATATGATACTGGCACAAAAACAGAAATGGAACAGGATAGAAAGCCCAGAGATAAACCAATGCACCTATGGTCAACTAATCTATGACAAAGGAGGCAAGAATATACAATGGAGAAAAGACAGTCTCTTCAATAAGTGGTGCTGGGGAAACTGGACAGCTACATGGAAAAGAATGAAATTAGAACACTCCCTAACACCATACACAAAAATAAACTCAAAATGGATTAGAGACCTAAATGTAAGACCAGACACTATAAAACTCTTAGAGAAAAACATAGGAAGAACACTCTTTGACACAAATCACAGCAAGATCTTTTTTGATCCACCTCCTAGAGTAATGGAAATAAAAACAAAAAAAAACCAAATGGGACCTAATGAAACTTGAAAGCTTTTGCAAAGCAAAGGAAACTACAATGAAGACAAAAAGACGACCCTCAGAATGGGAGAAAATATTTGCAAATGAATCAACAGACAAAGGATTAATCTTCATAATATATAAACAGCTCATGCAGCTCGATATTAACAAAACAAACAACCCAATCCAAAAATGGGCAGAAGAACTAAATATACATTTCTCCAAAGAAACACAGATGGCCAAGAAGCACAGGAAAAGCTGCTCAACATCACTAATTATTAGAGAAACGCAAATCAAAACTACAATGAGGTATCACCTCACACCAGTTAGAATGGGCACCATCAGAAAATGTACAAACAACAAATGCTGGAGAGGGTGTGGGAAAAAAGGAACCTTCTTGCACTGTTGGTGGGAATGTAAATTGATACAACTACTATGGAGAACAGTATGGAGGTTCCTTAAAAAACTAAAAACAGAATTACCATTTGACCCCTCAATCCCACTACTGGGCATATATCCAGAGAAAACCGTAATTCAAAAGACACATTCACCCCAATTTTCATTGCAGCACTATTTACAATAGCCAGGTCATGGAAGCAACCTAAATGCCCATCGACAGACAAATGGATAAAGAAGATGTGGTGTATATATACCATGGAGTATTACTCAGCCATAAAAAGGAATGAAATTGGGTCATTTGTATAGACGTGGATGGATCTAGAGACTCTCATACAGAGTGAAGTAAGTCAGAAAGAGAAAAACAAATATCGTATATTAATGCATATATGTGGAATCTAGAAAAATGGTACAGATGAACTGGTTTGCAGGGCAGAAATAGAGACACAGATGTAAAGAACAAACATGGACACCAAGGTGGGAAAGTAGCGGGGTGGTGGTGGTGGTGGTGGGATGAATTGGGATATTGGGATTGACATGTATACACTGATGCGTATAAAATGGATGACTAATAAGGACCTGCTGTATAAAAAATAAATGAAATAAAATTCAAAAATTCAAAGAAAAAGTGGCTTATTATTTATTATTTTAGATACTGGCATAAAATAGAAGCATACCTACTAATCAATTTACCCAAAATTCTCCAAAGGATGTGAGGTCCTAAATCACAAATAGTCAGAACCTTTCTACATAAACATATAGCTATAGATACACTTAGGCATTATGGAAAATGGATGGTGACTTTGCCAATGTTCTACTCCTTAGCCTTACAGACCACTCTACCTGATGCACTGCCTTATAAAGAGTGACAATTCGGAGACAAAGATTATTCACATAGTCTTTCTATCTTCTTTTTCAGTGCCTCCCGAAAGAATGAGAGCCTAGGTTTATTCCTCAAATTTCCACGGAGACAATACTGGGTCCTCCTGTTAGCTCTTGTACTTAAGTTTACTCAGGTTTAAAGATAGTTGTTAAACTTCTTGAGCTGTATAATAGTCTTTTGAATTCTTGAATAATTATGGTTCATTTATCATACTCTAATTTAGACACAGGAAGGCCAATGAAAGGCAAGTCTGTAAAACAGCCTATGTACCATGCACCTACAGGAAAAAGATGCACGTGCACACACACAACACTATTTCCCAGAACGACACAACTTCAAATGCTTGCCACATCTCATGTGTCGCTCTCTTCCAGACACAAGGAACCATAGCAACTCCCAGAGAAGAGCAGCCCCTAGAAGATACTCACAGCTTGTCAGATATAAAGAAAACAGATACATACCATCAAAACTACCTTGCTCAGAAGCAAGGTGCAACAGCTGATTGTACGTTTCAACTGAAGGCTGATAAACAAAGACTCCAGAATTGAAGCAGTCAGGCCACCCTGGGTCTGGTGCCGCCGACAATTCTTCTCTCTCAAAAAGATCATCGATATTTGCTAGGACCTGATTCAAGGGCAATGGGGCAGGAAGAAGGGAAAGCATTTCAGAACTGTTCTGCTGCGGTATACCCTTCTTAAGTTCTCCTTAAGTTATCCAACACAAAAGATGCAGTCTGTTGCTGGTCTTAACTACTCAGATGACAGCTGTGAGGCAGCCTGGTCCTACTCTCCTTCAACACCTGACACTTTTTACAACAGTGGTTTTATCTGAACTTTACTGTCAAGTCTTGACAGCATTCTTCAAATGCCTAACTGGTCTCAGTTACTATATCCATCTTTCCAGCCATCAAAGCCATACTCACCAGGGTATCTGCATCCATGAATACACATTTTGAATACTGTGTAAGGGACCAGCAGTGGAGTTTAGTTAACGTGATGCCCAACTCAGGCCTCTTCATTAAGGTTAGATGAGCAGAATCACCACTGTCCAAGACATCTACCGTGATGACTTCATCAAAGATAGTCTCTAAAGTTTTCCTGTCAAAAATAAAATCCAGAAAACAGCTCTCAGCATCTCTTTAGAACAAGTGACCCATTTAACATAAGACCGTGTTCTATTTAGCTTATCAATTACGAGAGAATTTGTTACTTCGGTATATTGCAATCTCTTAAGTATGTCCTAATTTACTTCAGGACAAACTGTGTTAATTTGCATGTGCAGTTAACTTCACTAAAACAGTGAGAACTGCTTACTGTGAGGATGAACCTCTTATCTTAAAACATTATCACAGAAGTTTCCTATGTTTTATTGTACCACTGAATACCAGGCAAATTGTGAAATAGCTTGCAAAAATGCGACTGATGCTTGGTAATACAGCTTTTCAACAGCCTATGCCTTTAACAATAATATTTTATTACAACGGGTTCTTGCTGACTACTGAATACTTTTACAAATGATGCGGAGTTAAGTGCATGTACTATCTGCACTGAAGCCTATAACTAATAATTTTTGCCAAAGCAGTTGACAGAGAACTGCCTGAAGCTGTGTCCTACAAGAAGTTAAATGACTCAATTATTTGGTTTCCATTTTTTTTAGCATCGCACCCAGCCAGCATTTATTACGTGCTTTGCACTCCTGGCATGAGAGACTCACTTTAGTTGGTGAGGTACAACATTTCTCCCTGCCCCAAATTAACTAAAGATATATTTTAGAAGGCAAGCCTGAGGTGAGGTGAAGTGGGGTGTACTTAGGTAAGACACTAAACTCAGCACAAGGAAAAACACGTGATAAAGACAAACCATCACCGAAAGTTTATAAAAATATCCAGCATGCAGAACAAAACTGGTAACGTATCATCTACCTCCAAAGTTGTACAAACGTATGTTCTAGTTCACACAGTAAACTTGATCTCTGAAACAAATGGCGGCACCCTTTACCACAGTAAAGGGGGCTTGCTGTCGAAGACTATATCCACCTTCTTACACGATTCTCATTAAATAGACTATAGATTAGGACATACACAAAGGAGACAGTTTGGGGGGGGCATTTTCCTAAATTACCCTTTAGGGATAAGGTTCTTCGCGTGAAAGATATATGTATGTATGTATAATGCGTCTTTTTCAGAGGTCCTTGGCACGGGCTTACATTTTTTGAAAAAAGTCACAAAAAGAGCATTTTCAACCTCTAAGAGGGATAGGAGAATGCAAAAATAAACACAATACAGAGCTGCTAGTGTGCCCAGATATTCTTAAGTAAGTTAGTATTAGGATCAAGGTAGTTCATTCAGATACTTCAAAATTGAATTCCAACCAATTAACATGAACTAACGGAATCAAAGAACAGCTTGTGCTCCCTCAGGGTGCTCTCCTAGCAGGACCCCTAACTCTGAGAGCCCTCTGGCAAATATTCTAGTCTATTAAATTGTAAATAAAGACCTTTAGGTTACTAATGTCAATTGGGGTGGAGAAAACTGCTACTTTCTTTCAAAGTCCCGGGAGGTTTCCCCCGTTAGAAACAGGAACGAAGTAGTCCCTGCTGCATCTGGGGAAAGGCATGCAAGTGAAGCGTGATGACATGAAGGGAATGGCTGGACTGAGTCACTCACTCGGATTACCACAAGAGGACTTGCCCAAGGGAGAGCCCTACTCCTGGTTGGAATCGGCAAGGGCAAGGGCCAGAACACCAGCTCCCAGAGGGAGCTTGGCTGGAAGATCTCCCAAGAGCCAGGAAGAGGTTTTAGACCCAGGAATCCTTCACTCAGCAACTCTCCTCTTTCTCCACCAGCATGCAAACCCTGGAAAGGGTATGGCCTCAATGCCCACCGATGCCAGAAACAGGGGAGAGGGATGTTCGAGCCCCACCAACAGCGGGGCAGCGAGGTCCTCACCTCATGGAGTCCGAGACCTGTGGGGTGACGAGCACGGCCAGCCTCCTGGTGGTCCTGTGCTGTTTCAGAGACGAGCCCAGGACCAGGGCTCCTTTGGCGTAGGCATCGTTTGTGGTCAGTGTCACAAAGGCCTGATCTTAATACAAGGAAAACGAACACACATTCATTACACTATCCTACCTAGAAAACACCACCCCAGGACCCTTTTCAATCAATAATTTGGCAAAATCAGCTCCTCTGAGATCAACTTGCTGTATTAATAAAAGAGCAGCCTCTTGTGGGGCGTTAGGGTGAGAGAGAGAACCCAGTGTCCGCTATAAGAATGGCTCAAGACCATTCTTTAGCAGGCAATCTTTGGCAACCTTCAAGAGGCTGACGAAGCTGTAAAAATTCAATCCAATTTAGAGTCCAGACATGCCAAATTCTCAGACTAAACAGCAGCTTAACACCCAGAGGGTGAACCTCAGGCAGTTAACAGGCAGTGAAGAAGAGATCAAGAAGTGCATTTTCTGTTTCTCCTACAAGGTACCATAGACAGTATTTTCAGCCAAGCACAAAGCCAGCCAACAACCTCAACTGAGAGCATCTGAAAGCAGAGGCCATGTTCTTCATTCTGATGCTTACATGTTCCACGCCTCAGGCTTTTTCTACTGTTTCCTCAACCTGGAGCAAACACTCCATGGCTATCCAACCACCACTCTAGAGTCACTCTGAGTCTCTCTGAAACATCACCTCCCCCAAGAAGCCTTCCCTCCTTGATGCCTCTATCTAAATGGTGGCCCATCGCTGTTAAATGGATTTAGGGACGACCTCACAAGCTCTAGAAAACCTGCCTCCTTTTCCTTGGAGAAGCAAGCAGTACCCCTACCCTGTATCCTGAGGCACCTCAACAGACTCTCTCTCTCTCACACACACATTCAAAAATCAATCTCCAATCATCATTTAGTTGCCAGGCCCAGGGGCAAATGCATGAATTCTCCTTCCTCCTGAACGAGCCCCACCCTCGCAAGGCCACCAGCCCAGCCTTTAGGATTCCTCCAGCCCTTCCCCGGGATGATTCTGGAGCACACTCCCTCTCCAAATGGATTTTAACATTAGCAGGTTGGTGGGCATCCATACATACAGGGTACTTAGGATCAAGCTCTGCCAGGGCTCACTTGGGGCACGGCTGCCCAAGCAGTTGAGCCATTCTGTCATGAAGTCACTCTGTTTCCGTCTTAGGTTTCCTCATTCTCTCTTTGCCCATTTTCCAAAGTGGAGGCTGGGGGCAGTAGACATTCCATTGAGAAGTGAGAGGAAGTTGTAGGCTGTCAAGTGGGCCAGCACACTCCCCAGCTGCAGCTCTGAGGGCCATCTTCACAGGTAGCGTTGAACTCTCCTTTAAGTTGTAGAAAGTCTGGTGTGCCCTCCCCCAGGGTCACTGGCTTCCCAGCTAGTCACGCTAGGAAAGCTCAGAACAGGGCCTCCTGTCCCTTGCCATACCCCTCAACTTGAACTTGTTCCTTCAACCCATCATAAGATGGCAACATTTCAGTCAGCCTGTCCCAAGGACACTTAATCTGGGGCATAATGAATGATGTTTTAACACAAAAACGGTCCTGATACCAGGGGAGCACGGAGAAAAGTTTAGTAAGTAGGGTTCAAGGCTTTCACGAAGCTAGGATATGGATGATTTCCCAGATGAAGCGGGAAGCAGGACAAATGCTTCGGAACGGAGGCTAGAACGCCAGACCTCGCAATGGAACAGGGAAGACCAGGGACAACTGCGTAGGAGGTTCAACCTTCCCAGAGACGGCCAAACCCCGGGTTACATCTGCAACCTTTCCGCAGCTCAATGGCTGTAATGATCCCACTGTTCGCCTCAACAGCACAGCAAGGACCAGTTACCTCGGGCCCTCCGGTCTTCGGGGTGCAGATTCGCCGTGCGGCCCGGACACCTTGCAACAAGTGGGCCGGCGCCCTCCCACCACGCCGGGCCCGCTCCCCGGGGGCGCTCGCCGGGCTCCGGCTTCCCGCAACCCAGCCCCAAAGGCCTAAAAATAGGCTCGGCGTGGCGGCCAGCGCCGGAGCGGGCGGCCGAGGAGCCGGGCCGGGGCCACCGGCGTCCCCGCCTCGCAGCTGCCCCTAGCAGGAGTTCCTGCCCGCGGGCGGTGGGGGGCGGCGCCTCGCGACCCCGCCGCGCTCCGGAGCTCGGAACCCGCGCCCCCGGGGAGCCGGCTCCCCACCCCCACGCAGCCGGCCGCAGCTGCTCCGCCTGCCCGCCCGCCCTTCACGGTGCGCGCAGGAGGAAGGGCAAGGAGACGGAAGCAGGAACGGGGGCTTCGGCGGAGGGCCCAGGCGCTGCCTGGCGGACCCCCTCGGCTGCGTCCGCGGGGTCCAGACGGCCGCTCGGGACCCCGGGGCGGCGGGGCAGCGGCTGACGCAAGAAGCGACACGCCCGGCTGCGGCCAGCCTGCAACTTTGCGGCGGTCCTCGTCCTGCTGGGAGCTCCCCCGGGGCGGAGCGGCGGGCGTGGGGGGAGAAGAGAGGCGGCGGGGCTACGAGGGGCCGCGCGGGGCGAAGAGTCCGGCGTCCCGGGGCGGCGGCGGCGGTGGGCGGCGCGGCGCATACCTGTCATGGTGCTGCCGGGGGTGCGGGCGGCTGCCGCAGCCGCAGCCGCAGGTTGGTGGCTCGGAGAAGCCGGGCGCTGGGGGCAAGCGCGGCCGGCGAGGAGGCGCGGCGGGAGCGGAGCGTCCGTCCGGAGCGCTCTTATAGCGGTCGTCACGTGGCCGCGCACGCTCCCCGCCCCCGCCGGCATCCTCCCCGGGAGGCGGCCCCGGGACTGCGGGACCCGGGACCTCACTCAGCCCTTGCACCACTGAGGCTGGGCTCCGGGTCCATCTCCGCAGACCCTCTGGTCCTGCTTCTGCTCGCGCGGGGCACCTGCCTGGACCGCGGGACTCCGTGCACCCCCGAACCGGGGGTTTGGAGGGGGACTTTGGGGCAGAGTGTGGCATCACTGGGACAAACTCCCAAAGAAGCCAAGGGTTAGGGAACCTTCCAAAAAACCCCAGATCACTCTAGTTAGAATAATTCATCTGAACTGCTTGAATTAAACATAAAGTTTAATTCCACTTTCTTCACCTAGAATTCCAAATCAGCCTCTGGAAGCATTTCTTAGTGTCCTCACAACGGTTTTGTGGCCTTAACCAAAAAAAAGAATAAATCTTCAGTATGTTAGATTCTCGAAGTCCTCTGCATCAATTAGATACTTAAGTGTTTTCATTTAATTCTCACATTAACTCAGTGAAGTAGGTTCTATAATCCTCATTTTACAGATGTGGAAACTGAGGCACAGAAAAGTTAAGTTACTTGTCAATGGTCATATCATGTAAGTGGAGAACATAGGATTTGAACCATGGCAGTTTCCTTACAGAATTGACCTTCTTCGTGCAAGGCCATGATACCTCTGGTACACTGGTGCCCTAAAAGGTTAGTAAATTATGGTAACTGTGGTTGGGTAATACAGTTGTTTAGGGTAATGTGTTTCACAAATCATGAAAAGGTGAATTTGGCATTTTTCTAGGAAGTTGAGAAATAGCTCCCTGATGTGATCACACCCTTCTCTCCCCATCTCTTCTATCCAGCCCAAACACACCAGGAAAGCAGAAGCTAGTACAATTCTCTGCAAACAGTAGTTGCTCAGTAAATGCTGAATGGAAGCCAAACAGGAAGTTGACAGCATCAGTTGAAATAATGAAATAGATGCTTTAGAATAAGTAATTTATTTGTAAAGGTGGTATTGCTATTCTCAAACCATTTATATCACTGTTTCTTCAAGTGTAAGCCTGGACCTCCTACATTAGAATCACTTGGGGCACTTGTTAAAAATGAAAATTTTTGGTCCTAAGCCCAGACCCCTGACTCAGATTCTTAATGGTAGAACCCAAGAATCAGCATTTTAAATGTCACCCTCTGGGAGACTCTCTTGAATCCTTTCCCCCTTCCTGATTATGGCAATGGAGACCACTGATTCACTTGGGAAGACCGCCTGGTTATTTGGCATTATAAACTTCCTTTGCAGGAAGTGGAAATGTGGGGCAAAGTTGCAGTGGGTGGGTTTCCACTTATTCAAGGCCTGTAGGCTTAGAAGAGTTGGAGCTCTTTAAGGACTGTAAAGGCTATAGTTGAATCGCACCTGTCTGGGCAGAGGGAAAACAGTGTTGCTTCCAGGTCTGAATTGCTTTTTCCATACTGATAAGTGGACCTGAAAGAGTGAGGTTTCCATCTTTCACCCAGGAACCCTCCAGCCATCAGTGGCCCTTAACCACCTGCTGCTTGAAGTCTAAGTATCCAGGCTGGCTTCTGCAGGGTGTGGTTCTAGGGCCAAAGGGCAAAGCCTGGAGGAAGAGCTGGGAACAACTAGAACTGGCAAGCTTCCCTTGGGAACAAGCTCCTCTCTGCTCCACCCCACTGTGTGTTTCAGTAAAAGCGATCACCACAGCCTCCTTTCCTGTGTTTCATGTATATTTACAGAAATGGAAAGTTTACAGCTTTTACCACATTGAGTCAAACAGGGACATTTCAAGGTTGCTACAATCTCCTCTTGTATGTTGTCTTAATTGATATTAGTATTGGTGACGCACTGACCAGTTTTCCTGAGGCTGTTGCACATTGAGCTTCTTAAGGTATGAGATCAAGACCTCTCAAAATATAATGTGACCACGGATTGCCTGGGGAATTTAGTAAAATGCAGATTCTGACTCAGTGGTTTGGGGTGAATCTTTCACGTGATGCCCAGGCTGTGGACCAACTCTGAATAGCAAGGTATTCGAACATTCTGGATTATAAGGCTTTGCAGGTAGTAGATAGATACTACCTGCAATTCTACCTCAGTACATATTGTACTGAGACAAATGTTTGAGATTTTCATTTGTTTATTTTCTCCTGTGAAATTTAAACTTGTAGTATTTCTGATTCTTAAAAGAAAGATTTAAGTTAAAAAAGAAAATCTGTACTCTACATGAGTACACAGAGCTATTAGCCATTTAAATCAATGCTAAATGCATAGATTCAACATGGTTGGTCCAAATTAATTTTTAGTTGGCTTTGGAATGCATTATGTAATATTTTGGCAGGATACTTCCCTTCCTAATTATGTTTTGTTTAACATAATGCCGAGATCGGTTTGCATTCCCTCCAGCACACACACTAATTGATGGTGGGAGCAACTGACCTGGAAATATATTCCAGAGGAGGGCACCCTGCTGCCCTAAGACACAAACGGTTCCCACAGACAGCCCATGAAATAGTTATACCACATCTGGCCAGACACAGGAACTAACTAGTTAACTAACTACTTAAAAATTTGCCCTTAATTGATAACAAACAAAAAATCCATACCTGGAATTGTTGCCAGTGACCAGAACCCTGATCCTTTCTAATTGGATGCTTAGTTTCAAGAAACATTATCCTTGGAGGCCCAAAGCAGCCCATTCTTTACTTGAGAGCTGGAATCCCAAACTCCACAAGTTGCAAGGGCCTGGTGACTAGTTACGTTGCTTTAAAAAAAATCTTTACTGAGATATAATTCACACACCATGAAATTCAGCCGTTTAAGGTATACAATTAAATGGTTTTTAGTATATTCACAGATTTGTGTTAAATATCACCACAATCTAAGTTTAGAATATTTTCATCGCCCAAAAAGAAACCTATACCCACTTGCAATCACTCCTCGTTCTCTCCATTTCCCTCAGCCCTCAGCCAACTACTAATCTTTCTGTCTCTATAGATTTGTCTATAGAGATTTGTCTGTATGCAGTCTTTTTTTTTTTTTTTTTTTTTTGGCGATATGCGGGCCTCTCACTGTCGTGGCCTCTCCCGTTGCAGAGCACAGGCTCCGGACGCGCAGGCTCAGCGGCCATGACTCACGGGCCCAGCCGCTCCGCGGCATGTGGGATATTCCCGGACCGGGGCACGAACCCGCGTCCCCTGCATCGGCAGGCGGACTCTCAACCACTGCGCCACCAGGGAAGCCCTGTATGCAGTCTTTTTTAACTGGCTTCTTTCACTTAGCAAAATGTTTTTAATGATTCTTCAATGTTGTGGCATGTATCAGTATTTCATTCCTTTTCATTAAGGAATTTCATTGCCAAATAATATTTCATTATATGGATATATCACATTTTAGTTATCCATTTCATGGGTAAACATGTTGGTGAACATTTTGGTAGTTTCCACTTTTTAGCTATTATGAATAATGCTGCTATGAATATTTGTTTCCAGTTTTTTGTGTGAATATATATTTTTCTTTCTCCTGGGTACATAACAAGAGTAGAATTGCTAGATCATATGGTAACCCTATGTTTAACATCTCAAGAACTGCCAGACTGTTTTCAAAAGTGTAGATATCATTTTGCATTTCCACTAGTATGAGGGTTCTAATTTCTTCACTTCTTAACAAATACTTGTTATCATCTTTTTTATTATGGCTATTCTAATGGGTTTGGAGTGGTATCTCACTGTGGTTTTGACTTGCATCTCCTTAATGACTAGTGATGCTGAGCATTTTTCATGTGCTGATTGGCCATTTGAGTATCTTCTTTGGAGAAATGTCTATTCAAACCCTTTACCCATTTTTTAACTGAGTTTATTTATTTATTTAATTTAATTTTTTTTTTTTTGCGGTACGTGGGCCTCTCACTGTTGTGGCCTCTCCCATTGCGGAGCACAGGCTCCGGACGCGCAGGCTCAGCGGCCATAGCTCACGGGCCCAGCCGCTCCGCGGCATGTGGGATCTTCCCAGACCGGGGCACGAACCCGTGTCCCCTGCATCAGCAGGCGGACTCTCAACCACTGCGCCACCAGGGAAGCCCGAGTTGATTTATTTTTGAGTTGTAAGAGTTCTTTATAAATTAGGAGTTTGGGATTAACTTATACACACTACTATATACAAAACAGTTAAACAACAAGGACTTACTGTATAGTGCAGGGAAATATACTCAATATCTTATAATAACGTATAGTGGAAAAGAATCTGAAAAAGAGTACAGGTATATATAAAACTGAATCACTTTGCTGTACACTGGAAACTAACACAACATTGTAAATTAACGATACTTCAATTAAAAAAATCTGGAAAAAAGTTCTTTATATATTCTGAATACATATATATCTCTTATCAGATATATATTTCATGCATATTCAGATATATCTTATATGCATATGTATATGATTTGCAAATCTATCCTCCCATTCTGTGGATTGACTTTTCTTGATAGTATATTTTGCTGCACGAAAGTTTCACATTTCTACCTAGTCAAATTTATTTTTCCTTTTTGCTTGTGCTTTTGGTGTCATATCTAGGAAACCATTGCCTAACCCAAAATCATGAAGATTTACCCCTAAGTTTTCTTCTAAGAGTTTTATAGCTTTAGTTCTTAAATTTAGGCCTGTAATCCATTTTGAGTTAATTTTTGTGTGTGGTGTGAAGTAGAGGTCCAGCTTCTTTTATTTATTTATTTTGGGCTGCGTTGGGTCTTAGTTGTGGCATGCGGGCTCTTCGTTGTGGTGCACGGGCTTCTCTCTAGTTGTTGCGCACGGGCTTTTCTTTAGCTGTGGCGCACGGGCTCTGTAGTTGTGGCGCATAGGCTCCATAGTGTGTGGGCTGTGTAGTTGCAGCGCTGGCTTAGTTGCCCTGCGGCGTGTGTGATCTTAGTTCCCAAACCAGGGATTGAACCTGCATCCCCTGCATTGGAAGGCGGATTCTTAACCACTGGACCACCAGGGAAGTGCCCCATCTTCTTTCTTTTGCATGTGAATATTGAGTTGTCCCAGCACCATTCGTG